TTTCTTGGCTTTTTGCTCATTGGAGCAACTAGTGATGTCCTGAACTTTGTGAGCTAGTAATTTTGATCTAAGTGCCGAATTCCTTATTTATGTGTATCAAATATTTTAATTTAGCATTCATCATTCATTTTCTCAGTAATCTAAAATAATATTGTATTTTTCCACTTAGAGGAATAATGAAGGCTCAGTAGTCCACTGAGTCATAGACTGTACTATAGACTTTTTATTATAATTCAAGACATCATAAACACTACTTAATTGCATTATATTCTGTTTTATATGCCTCAGTCCTATGCAGTAAGTAGACAGTTGAGTAAGAGGAAGGGGAGGAAATGGAGATGGTGCTCATTGACTTCTTTCACGTTAATGAATTGAGAAGCATAGATTTTATGAAGCAAAGTCCTATTGACCTGTGGCTGCCATCTCCTTCTTAGTTTCATAACATAATCAGCTCTTGACACATGATTATAATAACCTGATGCAATTTACTGCATTCTCTGCAAACGCATTGATTTTTTTCTTTTTCCGAACAGCTCCAAGAACCAATTACATTAATATTGCTGCATAATTTGTTTACACATTACTAAATTACTGAGAAATTAAAAGTGAAATAGCACAGTTCATACCCCTGTCTAGCATAACTGCCAGAGAGGAAATTAATATGGATTCAAAAGGTCCTCAGAGGCGTGTGCAGTAAAAGGAAGGGAGGGGGGAAAAAAAGAAAAGCAATGATCTATAAGGATTGGTTGTGCAAGAATATCCTCTCTGTAGGTTAGGCTGGTGTTAGATTCAACAGAGGCATTCAGGCCTGGGTAATTAATATGGTCTGTAATTAGATTTGCATATGAATGTCAATAGGCCACGCTCCCATGAGAAGAGTTCAGCATTTTCTCTGCAGAGTCCTGCAGCTGAAACCAGTGAGGCTCTGATATATACCACTTTTTATTTGTTTACCCTTAAAAAAGTAAGAGGACACAATATGTTTCATAACAGTTTCAACTAATGTAAACCATTTATATACATGTACTTAAAAAACATGTAAGGAGGAAATGTTATGTGAAACAAACGGTGACCTTCCTTAGTGCTTCAGCTGAACTTCTGAAATGTCACTTAAAGTGGGGTATTGTGCAAAATCAACTTTCTGGAACTTTATATCATGTTATAATGTCATTCCTTCATCAAAAAATATACCCAGAGTGTTGCATCACTCATTCATGCATGTTTGAAAAATCCTTGAATCTCCTGTAGCTATGTGGAGCTGCTAAACACTTGCTGGTACAAGTGCTACTTATTTACTATCTATTGATGTATACAGTATATATATGAAGATGACTGTTAGATATATTACTGATCTAAAACATCTTGTAAGAGATGCTGTACCTGCTCACAGAGGCACACCACATCTTTTTCTCTTTTTTTTTTGTATGCAAATAGATCAAATCTAATTATGTGACCGAAAAGTTTTACAACATTTCAAATCATTAAAAAAAATCTTGTAAAAACAGTTCTCTCGTGGTCCTTGCAGATGAGCTACTGCATTGCACACCAACTTTTCAGCAGAAATGTATGGCGCTGACCTTTGATGACCACATTGATCCGATGTACTGAGTGGCCATTTCCACAGAAACAAACATATATAATTGGTATTGGGTTCCAATGGCGCTCATTCACCGTCCTGGGGATGCTTTACACCAATATAAATCAATTCACACTTATAGACACGATATGGGTGCATTAGTGCTGACTGGTCATTTGAAGATGGCTGAGAGGTTCAGAATTCAATAGGCCTTGATCAGACTCGTCCAATCTGTCTCCATCAGTCCACAATTTCTACCCATCACTGATGCTTAAGATGGCAATCACCATTCTTTAAACATATACATCGGTTTTTTTTCTCTCTTTTTTTTCTTGACTTTAGATGTAGCCTACATCTGATTTTAAACACAAACTGCTGCAAAGAGTGGACATGGCTAAAAATCAGTGGTATATTTTTCCACTTTAAAATTTATTTATATGAATGCTGATTAAAATAATATGATATTTCTTCTAAATTTGAAAATTTTAGGGGTTTCAGTCAGATTTCATGAGCAATTTTTATTATTATTTTGTCTTGGTCCACTAATATCTTTCTCTGCAATGTTTCAGTATAAACACACACACACACACACCCACACACACACACACACACACA